CACATAGAGTATTCTAGCATTAAGTAATCAACTAATATCATATCTTTACGGCATATATACAGAACGTAGAATGCGGTTCAATTCGTCATACAGGAAGCACCGATCGGTGAACAGTTGGCAGGAGTAGTACAACCTCGCCCCGAAAAAGATCACATCACAATTCCGCGGACCCTATCGAACAGTAAATTCTTTCAAAAGGATAGATGTTTTGCTTCTCTTGCTGGATGAATGCAATGCTCGTCGGTCGACAGTTTCCTTTCTTTTGCCTAAAAAGTTGTCACCGTCACCTGCCATCGACGTTTTCTGAGTCTGCTCAGAATTAGATACGATATGGAAACCGTGTCTGCACATGGAGTTGTTGGCCTTTGGTCCAGCTACTTACACCGGCCGCCTTTTCTTCAAACTCCATACCTACCTAGGTATACCAAATGTTTCTTCGGGTGACACCAAGTGTCGTATTGTATTGTGAAACGAAAACATGACGCTGTGGACGCACAATGTCAGCAGGAGTTTTCCATCTTGGTGCCCTCACACGATTCTCCTGTAGACCTGAAACTCGGTACATCATGGACGCCGTTCCTCGATGCTAAGTCCATGAGAATATAGTCATGCTTTCTTCGTCAAGGTGTAGATATATTATACTATTGTGCGGAATAATGGGCGATGACGCCTGGGTCTGAATTGAGACAGCGTCAATCTCATTTCATGACTGTATCTTATGTGTATAGATGTGTTACTTCTCATTGATCCACCACGATTTAAAGGCCTCATCGAAAGATCGGGCAACGCGGTCAATCTGGAAGTAAGATTGGATGTGATTGCAGGTGGCTCTCATCCGCGTAAGCCTACTAAATGGGTCTTGAATTCGGTTCGGGTTCCCCTTGCAATTCTTTATAATCTTTTTTATTTCATTGTCAAGCAGCAGGCAATCAAGGCTATGAACTACACTCCAAAATATGCCCTTGATTTCTTATTAGTAAGAATACCTGGGAAGATTGTTAGGGCCATTTACGTCCGCAGTGTTCATGTTAACCAAACCCCGCATCTCAACTCGGAATGTTGTGGCTAAAGTACCAGGTTGCTGCAGTCTCGGGTGAGCTGAGTCCGTCCAAATACTTTCCACATCGTTTGCGACGTGATAACTTTCAAACGAAATTGTGCATAATATTTTATTCTCGAACACGGATATACAATCATTCAGTATGCCCTCTCAACAGAAGACTATCCTCATCACCGGGGCGGCAGGGTTCATAGGCCAGCGCTTGACCGCAGCCCTCCTGAGCAAGCACCCTGAGTATCGGCTTGTCATTAGTGATGTAGTCACTCCGTCGGTCCCCGCTGGAAGTCCAAAAGCAGACAGTACGGATGCTATCCAAGCCGACCTCAGTGACCCAGCCTCTCTGTCCAGCCTAATCGCAGCATCGCAGCCGCTAGCGGCTGTGTTTGTGTTCCATGGAATCATGTCGTCCGGCTCGGAGGCTAATCCGGACCTGAGTCTCAAGGTCAATCTTGACGCCACGCGAGCTCTTCTGCTCAAGCTCTCAGAAACAAACAAAGGCGTCCGGGTCATATACGCTTCCAGTCAAGCCGTATACGGAGCGCCTTTTCCTGACGTGATCACGGACGCTGTTACACCTACGCCAGCTGGGGTCTATGGCACGCACAAGCTCATGATGGAGATCTTCATCAACGATCTACACCGCCGAGGGGAGGTTGACGCATTCTCTCTGCGCTTTCCTACAGTCTCCGTGAGGGCTGGGAAACCGACGCAAGCCGCAAGCTCATTTCTGTCGGGTATTATCCGCGAGCCAATGAATGGCGAGGAATGTGTTGTCCCTATCCAGGACAGGGGATATCGTGCGGTGCTCTCTGGGCCTGGAACACTGATCGAGAATCTCTTGCGGGTGTTGCATTTGCCGAGTGATGCGTTGCCACAACACATTCGTTGGATGAATTTCCCCGGTATCTCAGTCACAGTGCAGGACCTACTAGATGCGCTAGTGAAGGTGGGTGGTGAAGACCGGCTTCGATATATCAAAGAGCAGACAGACCCAGTCATGGAACGGATTTTAAGGACATGGCCTCGGGAGGTGGATGATTCAACTGCAATGAAGTTGGGAATGAAGCGTGATGAGAGTGCTGAGAGCCTCGTGAGGGAATACAAAGAGAGTATGGGCAAGTAACGTAGTGTGCACAAGAGGCGCGGCAGATTCTCTGAGTCGGGACTGAACGACCGAAAGTTGGTGGGAAGTTTACGCTCCTCAATTACTATAGAGCCTTCAAATCCATGCATTTTACAAACATTGAGAATAATAAGAGTTCGCAGCCTTGCAGGTTCCGGAGGTACAGCAAGTCGCGCCAGTCCACCCTTGACCACCACACTGTGCATAAAGCGAGGCGCAGGTTCCGGCACTGGGAGCAGTCGATGTGGACGCAGGAGCAGATGAGGTTGTCGTTCCAGTAGTTGATCCATTGAGCTTACTCTTGACGAAAGCGAGCGCCGCAGAACCATACTCCGCTCCGTATCCCTGGTGTGTGTTTGCGTCGCTGCCGTTGCAGCAATAGGGATCGGCAGCGTCGCAGTACGATTGAATTTTGGAGGCGGACGGGCACACGAAGCTCGCTGGGCGGGCGTCGAACTAAATAATGTAAACGTCAGTGAAGCACAGACACTACGAAATTGTAAAACGAGGAAACATACGCCTCCGGCCCGGCAGGTTCCGACATCGTAAGAAAGCCCGTAGACGTATGTCGGTGTCCCCTGCAAGATCACGGCCTTGATCTGATTAATGGCACCCGAGGAAATAGGTATGACGGTACTGGTCAATCCTTGGTTCGGGTCGCCACCGCCACAGAAAGCATTGTCAAAGATCTCTGCACCCTGTACCTGAAGTTAGCATCTGAGGCTTCATCTTTGCGGGTGAAGAGGCTACTGACTTGGGAGTATCCGACAAGAACAAGCTGTGTGCTCGGGCACTGCGTGTAGTAGTTGTTCACAGCAGAGGCCGCCGCCGCCGTGCCCTGCTGGACGGAGCTTGAGTAGCTAACACCACCGCATGATGACTGTCCGCCACATGCTGGGTAGCTGATTGCCTCAGCTGTTGATCCAGGGTAGGCACTCAAAATCGCGTTTCTATTTGATGCTGCGAGTCAGCAACTTTTTCTTGTTACGATCTCGAGTTCGGACCGTGGGCCATGTGCGGAGGAATATATGTTGTATAGTCCTCGGGTCCATATGTCTCAAGATTTAATGTTTGCGGAGGCTAAGAAACTACTACCAAGTACGTACACGACCGTGCTTGAAGAGCCATACCCCGCACTGGCTGTTGTTTCTCGGGCGCCGAAGATATGAATGCTTGGGCAGGACTGTCGCGTCTCGTGCAACTCGCCGTCGATAGGCGACGCACTACCCAGCAGGCCATAGGTGGAGAGAACGAGAAAGGCGGACTTGGGACTGGGCCACATCTTGGATTGTGATATTGCAAACCGATGCTATATTTACATGAAAGAAGGTCAAGTGAACCAAATCTCTCTGGTTTCAAGTAATGGACTCATCAATCTACAAGACTGCTTGCAGAGACGTCAGTTATATAATTATTGACAGTATATTAACAAATCGCTTGATGGTCACTCTTGGCGATTAACTGACAATTGCCCGGACACCATCTAATTTCGGCCAAAGGTAGCACTTTTGGTGACCAACCCATCGGGACTATGCTTCCGGACGTCGAATACAGGTGCTGGCTTGCCAAATTACTCTGTATGCTCCTATCCTTTTGTCCGGGCTGAGGTCAATAAAATTGATTCTACTTGGGCGCTCCACGCTAGCAGAAGTCATGATCCTACACATACAGCAGGCCCGAAAAAGCAATATGAAGCCTCACCCTTCGCCGACTGCCGATGCATGTAAGATTCTACCGACAAAGAACTTCTCTGAAGTCTCAACAACCATTGCATTGGTACCAGGTCCAGACTGTCAGAATTGCGCCCTGCTGTTCGCGGCGCAAGGCGGTATTTAGCCTCAATGCACGTAGCCTGCGGACACCATTCCGAGTGCCAAATTCAGGTGGTCCGACCTGCCATTCTAATTACCCCGTACCAAACTTTGAAGCTCGAGGAACCCACTATGTATTTTTTGTTTTAGGTTCATTTAACGTTGTTACCCGGTAGAGATCCCAGCAATGTACGCAGCGGATGTGCCACTAAGGCACATCATGAGACTCAGCCGGGCTTTTCTTAAGAGGGTATATGGACAACCATGATGGATATGGTTAGAGTGGCTTGCTGGAGACTCTACAATCCATATCCGATGCCAATGTCATCTGACTACGCCAGAGTCCCCCAGTGGAAATTCTCCTCCTGGGTGAAAATGTTTCTCACTACCAAGGTCATCCGGTCAAGGCCGACGTCTCAACACCCTAGCGCTATCAAAATGACTACTATAGAAGTCGAAGCCAGAATGTGCAATTTCTCGTATACTTAGCAAATCTGCCACGGACTCCCCGTTTACAGTGCGATGTGAGCTTCGGCTTGTGGGAATCTTGTGCCGCAGAACGGCAACCAGTCTGGCGATTCTCGTTGGTGCCCTGAGCCCAAATCGAAGGAGGTTCTGGGCAACTACAGGTCAATACGAGTATGAGCTAGGGCATCCGAGTTGCTTCATTGGTTCCTTACAAAAGAAAACAAAATGAAGTTGAGATTGGAGCAAAGGAATCTCCCCATCTACCTATGTGCATTGATGTAGCCTCAGTGCATGTGAGTTGCATCAAGTGATGGGAGCAAGAAGTGCTGTTCTACCACAACCAGGGTGACTGGACAAGTCACCTCGTTCCGCCCCTTGGTGTATATTCCACAAAGGTCCATCAATTTGGCCAGAAGGGGTGGCATTTCTATCTCTCACAATGATCAAAAAAACCAACGACGAGTCTTGATCGAGGCATATCTGCACAGAAGGGGGCAGTGCCATGTGAGGAAACAAAAAACACACCCGTGTATCGGTATGTCTGCCCCATGAATCGAACATGGGTTTCCACGGCCACAACGTGGTGTACTTACCACTATACTAGGCAGACGATGAAAATTGCCCAAAAATTCTATCTCATGAGGAGTGACGAGCATCGTGTTTGTGGGTGGCTGACTCAGGCTGTCTAGGGCTCCATTATGTGGGCCAGCCAGGCTAAACTGTCCTTGGAGCCCTCCTGAGAGGCTTTTTTCCAGTATCCAAAACAAGTGTAAGAAGGAGAACTCCGCCTGAGACACAAACTACATTAACCCAACTCGCGAGCCACTCAAAATAAGCTGGGATACTGAGGTCCGGCACTAGGTAGTGCCATCCAAAAATCCCGTCCGGCAATTGTGCTTGTTAGATCAACGCTTCAAGTGCGGGGAGGATGCTGAGAAGAAGGACAACTTTCAGAGAAGCATGCTGTGTTCCTGATCTGGTGGAGAACGCTGATAGCTTTCTTGAGGTAATTGTCTGCTTGAATGCCCAAGTAATCGCTGTGCGAGTTCGCAGTCTGGCATTGCATCTTTCAGCAGGTATTATGCGGCCTCAATTTTTTGAGATGCTATTATGGGGAGGTTATATGATATCGATGTATGCGGTATTTGTACTCACAAGATTTTGACGGACCATCCGTGCGCTCAGATCAGTCCTTGCCATCCCAAGTCACCACCCAGCAAGGCTTGCCTCGTTAATGCTCGAGTAGTGACTTACGGCCATTGCTATATATTGGCCACAAGTCCTTCAGTGATTTTATCCAGAGCTACTATTTTGTGACCTATATACCCTGGCTTCTGCCCTGGGCAGGGGCGGCAACTCTGGAATAGTATTCACTTCGAGCTTCGCAGCATCATGACCAAAAAGCCAGGCTCTTCTCTCCAAACTTCCCCAGAAGAATGGATTTTCCAAACCATTAGAATTGCAAAGCTTTTCTCGCCTCTGTGTCTCTTCACCATCATGCAGATGAAGCCAGTGTTGAAGGACCCTCGTATTCTTCGCCACGTACGCCGCCCGAGGAAGGCGCTGGTCCTGGTAGGCCTGAAGAGCTCGAGGGATGTCGTCACCAAACTTCCTGAAAGCGGCCGCCAAAGTTGCAGCATCTTCTGTGGCTTGAGCTGCACCCTGTTGTGTTTTCACCATTAGTCAAGTGCTTGAGTTTTGATATATCTAAGGGGGTTTCATAACGGCCTCTGAATATCCCGTGGCTGATTTGCGGTCTTAGCCTTGAAAATGAGGACACTTCGATACACCCTCAACCAATCGGCCGGAAAGGAAGAGGGCCCGTTTTCGAAGGGAGACGTGCGATGGAAGAGACTGACCTGGGCCATGTAAGGCATCATAGGATGGCAAGAATCGCCCAAAAGCACAGCCCTCCCACCTGGATGCACCCAGCGATCCAATTGATCAAAGTCTGCCAACTTCCATTTCAAGTACGTTCCGGTGAGAGCGCACAATTTTCTGACTGGAGGACACCAATCCTTGAACCTCTCAATGAGATGGGCATTGTCCGCTTCAGATCGCCACTCGTCCAGCCCGATTGGCTTTCCCAGATCTGTCTGGTGGGTCACATCGATGATTATGTTGTAGAGTTCTCCGCCCCTGAGAGGGTAACCGACTGCGTGAGCTTCTGGCCCCATCCAGTGAACGGCCCATGGTCTCGTCACATACTCTCGCATGTCAGGATCTTCCAGTAGTGGTTTCGCAGGCACAAGAATCCTGTAGGCCACGTCCCCCGTGTCAACAGGATCAATAGGTCGTCCGTTGATCTCGTTGCGGGCAGAAGACTTGATGCCATCGGCACATACTAGAAGGTCGCCTTGCAGCCAACTACCATGACACTTGATTTTAGGCGTAGCAAAGTCATAATCAGTCACGGGAGTGCCCATGCGTAAGTCAATCAACTCGTTCTTCGAGGCAGCTGCCACGAGCGCTTTGATGAGGTCGGCACGGTGCACAAAGTAGTATGGCGCTCCGAAGTGCTTTTGGACATCAGAGAAATCACAGTCAAGTAGCTTCTTCCCGTGCCAATCAACAAAGCGATTTCCCAAGCTAGTTTCTTTCTTAACAGAACCCAAATCTACGCCCCATGACTGCGTGAGGCGTGTTGAGTTTGGTGGCACCCGAATTCCGGCACCAACCTACACTCAGTCAGATAATTGCTTCATTTGATATTCAAAGGGTTGATGGTTTTACCTCCAAGAATTCGCTAGTGCTCTCACATACAGTCACTTGATGGCCGTCATTGGCCAGAGCCAGCGCCGCCTGGAGACCTCCGATTCCAGCACCGACAATCAAGACGTGCAGGTTTCCCATTCTCAATCCTTACTTTGATATCAGAGTCTTCACTAGCCAGCAAATGGGATTGCGGATATGCTATCGGTAAAGCAGTTGAATTCGCCTTTTCGTGAAGTCGAATGCCTGGGTCATGATGCGTCCGAATCGTTGGGGTTATCATGAGGGGACAATACTAGGTCCCGGGGCTAGTAGAGTGACTACGGCAAGTCTTCCGAACTCGCTATTCGGCAAGTATACCGTTGGTGTCTTAGATTGTAGGCAGTTTGATCTTCGAATGGCCTCCGATGTTTCTTCCTGTGGTATTGCTCTCACAATCCCCGTCAAGACCGCCGCTGCTTTTGCCTTGACCAAGGTCAGATTTCTTCTGAGGACACCAGTGCCTTTGCATCCAAGAGAGCGTTCAGTTCGGCGTGTAGGACTGAAAAGGGGCTGGTGTATCTGGTGATGGTATGGAAAGCTGCCCGCCTGAGCTCGCGGGCTAGGCGCGAAGTCAAACCAGACGGTCCTAGCTAGAGAAGTAACAAGATTCTAAAGCCAAGAGAGAGACGCCAAGAGTCAACAGTGTTGTAAGGACATTTAAAATGTATTTCCCGGGGAGCACACTGATCAATGACTAATCAGAAAGAATTCGGACGTGATGTCGTCTATGCTCTTCTTCAAGAGTTTCTACATCAAAGTCGTGCTTGGTACGCACTATCCCGAGTCTGATAAGTAGAACAGATCATGACCACTAGAAGCGGATCAATAGAGACCATAGTCCTTAGACGGAATGCAAAAGCGGGTTCATCAATCACGTGCACTCAAAGATGACTCGGTGTCTATAGACGACCCTTGAGTGTTTATTCCAGATGCCGTCTGCAATGGAGCCATCTCGTATATTCCTCAAACTGGCGGAAATTCAACCTTATCCACCTCTCTGAGATTTAATCAAAAGCTTGATTCATGACGCCGTTTGTCTGATCATTTTCTATCTCTTGTGTGCTTCATTGAAGGCCGTTGCAACGTTGGACGAGCATTTTGACGTCAACTCCATGACGATCTGTGTGGCTCGAATAGGAAAGTCATGTGGAGTGAGTGTGTGATCGTTCAATACCCGGGTAAGGAATTAAACCGATCAGCCACTTAATCTTTCGCCGATCATTTGGACGTCTGCCCTTGAGAATGTTGGCTTTCCCAACAAAGCACTAGATGCGGACAGGAGATGCATACTGTCGCAAGGTCAAAGTTGTTTGTCAGGCGCTGAGCCACAATATTTTGATTCCTTTACGACCATGCTCGTGTGCAGACTCTATGGAGCCTAGCAATCTCTATGAATTTGAGTCAAGAACATGTTTCGGAAATAGGGGGACTCTTCAGCTAGATATACTCATTAGAGCCTACAGTGTATGCACATCTAGCACGTACAGAGGATCAGACATTGTAGTAAAGTGATTTAGTACCTGCAGGATCGCAGATAGTCTGACGAGGCGGCAGCTGATGATTTCATCAAACGTCCTATTATGGCAGCTCACGCTCTTGTACACGTCTCCTGCGAACTGAACAAGAAGCATTTGAAGACAGTGATTGGAGATGACATCTATGTTGGTGCTGTCAATTACGTCCGAGTCGTGCGTTGCACGGAGAAATGCCACTGGACTCCGCTAATCACCTCCTGCTCATTTCATACATGCTTTTATAGGGCTAGTTCCACGACCTTCCCCATAGAGCGGCGACCTGTTCGCCCCTTATCGGCCAATGCGACTTCGCCCACCGACAAAGACAAAAGGCTCCTCTACTGCAAGCATTTTGACCATGGACGACTCTGCCTTTTTGCGACCATCCGCATCAAACAAACAAGATGCAGTTGTCTTTAGCGGTAGTCTGTGGTTTTCCACTTCTCAGCTTGGGTGTAAACGTTCCGAACAAGGGCCCAAGATCACCGTCCAGTGTCCCCTTGTTCACGAATAGCGATGTCTCAATTGCGGAAGCCCCGACGGAAGCACTCATCGAGCTTGCGCAAAACCCAAATCCGGATTACTTGAACAGCCCGGTGCGTGCACGTATTGCTGTTCAGAAGAAAGCGAAGAGAGCAGAGACCGCATATGAGCTCGTCAACACCCTATTCAGCGGCGTCTACCCAACAATAAACGTCACGTGGGGCAACACAGATGGGTGAGAGCATTTCCGTACCGTGGGAGGCCCACAGCCTTCTTTTCTTCCTTTTTTGCCTTGTAACCTTTTAGTTATGGCTGAAATATACTAATATGCACAACGCCAAGAACTTCTGGGCAAGATTTCATCAGCTTCATCGACACTGGGAGTTCAGATACCTGGGTCGTAGCAAGTGATCTCGAATGTGTCGACATTGACACCAAAGCTCCGTTGGACCAGGATGCATGTGGATTCGGCCCACTTTACGACTCTTCCGTCGGATCATTTACCAACATTACGGATGAGTCCTTCTCAATCAGCTACTTTCCTGAGGGCGAGCAACTGAAAGGGTCCATGGGATATGCGCCCATCACACTTGGAGGCCTGACTGTATCTCAGCAACAAGCCGCCTTGGTCGATTACGCAGCTTGGATTGGGGACGGGTACTCTTCCGGGCTGCTCGGCCTCGGGTATCCGGCGATCACCTCAGCGGAGAACACGACATCCGGACAACGTGTCGTGTATAACCCCTTGTTCACGTCTATGATTGAACAGGGACTGGTATCGGAAGGGATTTTTACCCTTGCTATCGATCGCGTGCCACAGGGAACCTCGCCATTGGCCGCAGCTGGTCTGATGGCGCTC